TAATTATGTTTAGCTTAATTATTAAAAATTATTAATAATTATAATTATTAATTCATAAATAGTAAAATTTATAATATTTATTATTTAGATTTGTTTACCATGTGACTTAAAAGTATAGATTAAAAGTATAATAAATATATATTTCATAATTAATTTATATAAAAAAATATAAAAATTAATATTTATTTTAATATTATTGACATATAAATAATTTTAATTAATTAATTAATTAATTTAAAATCAACACATATTCTTTTTGTATAAATTAATTATATATTTTAATTTATGTCATTAAAATATAAATTAAAAATTTTTATTAGTTAATAAATTAAAATTAATTTATATATTAATGTTGTTAAAAACTATAACTAACTATTTAAATTTTAAAAAAAAATTGTATGACCAAACAATTTATAACCATGACCAGAACCCTAATACGTGGCTTGTACAGCCACCCACAACAGCAAAAGTCAAACCCTTGCTGCGCAATCTACCAATTCCCTTAGTTCAGAAAAAGAAAAAAGAAAAAAAATTTATAACTGTAACCACTTCCTCTTGAAAAAATGTGACACTGACACTATAAGCTGGATTTCATTATAACAATTAGCCAGGGTTTTTTTAAATAAAAACTATTTTATATTCCTCATGCATAGATGAAGTGCTATACCACTTGATTATTTATGGGAATACTATTCAGGTTCAAAGTTCGAATCATGGATGATCTCTCTTCCTCATTCTCCTTTAGTAAAATAGGTTTGATTGTAAGTTATTAAAAAATTTAATAAAAATTCTTTTATAATTTAAACATGCTTTTTTTTTTAATATGAAGGAATTTTAAGAAATGAAAGATATTTTTTAAAATTATTAATAACAATTAAATTTATAATCAATTAAATTCAAACTCTTAAAATCTACCCGTAAATATAAAGGTTTGGTTCATAATTCAAGCGTACTTACGAAGTTACCATTAAATTAAAGAGGGGTTTTAATAACCACGAGGACCCCCTTATCTAAAAGTGGGGTCCAATCCATTAAATGAAAGGGTTTTTTAAAAATATTTGACTCTCTCTAAATGGCATCTCTATTTGAAAAAACGAAAGGAAAAAGAAAAAATTAGAGCAGATAATGTGGGGTCACGGAACTCGATGGATGGGATAAGTCGGTCGGCTCTTCTTTCTTCTAATATATAATTAATTATTTTTAATTATTTTTTTATATATTATTAAATAAATAAATACTTAATATTTTTAATTTTAAATAAATAAAAAATTAATTATTTAAATAATACATACAATTATATTAAAAATAATATAAAAATTTATCCCTAAATCATTTTTTTTCTTAATTTGTTTATTTTAATTATTCTCCACTTAAAATGTATTTGAGAATAAAGACCAACTTTTTTAAATTGAAGTAATTAATTATTTAACATGAATATCATTAAGATTGATTAGAAAGAAGTATTTATAATTATGATTTAAAACTTCTCAACCAAATATTTATAAATAGTAAAATATTAAGATTAATTCTATTATATAATTTTAAGACTTCTAAAATGATATTTTTTTTAAATTTAATTAGAAAAATCAAAATATTATTTTAAGAACAAATTAAAAATTTAGGGTTCTAAAAATAGAGTTATAGACTAGTTTTGAGGGAGTAGAGTTGTAAATGAATTAAAAATTTAGAATTAAGAGTTAGAGTGCATGATTAAAAAGAAAAAATAAATTAAGAAATATGAAAATGTTCTATTTTTAATTTTTAATTAAGTTAATGGAATTCTTATCTTGTAAAACAAGAAAAAAATTTAAAATACCATAAAAATATATATTATATTATTTAATTATCTTGTAATTGAGTTTTATTTTATAATCGGATAGTTTAAAGGTAAAATTACAAACCAAACTAATTATATCGATTTTAAAATCTTATAATTCAAACGAATCTAATTTTATATCAGTTTGGTTCAAATTTTTATTGAATTGGGTGAATTTGGATCAAATCAATTAGAATGTGTTTCCCCAAAAATCCTTAATCGACCTTAACCACATGAGTTTGGGAATAAAGCGTGCTACTTGCTTTGTCTAAAAATAAGAAAATAGGATTTTCCAAACGGCTCTTTTCCTTTTCAACGGTCGACTTCCAAAAGGATGACTGGAAAGAACGTCTGTGAAATAAAGAACGTCTGTGAAATAAAGAACATCTGTGAAATAAACTGCGCCCCCAAATAATGTTGCAAAACAAAGGCTAGAGTTCTGCAAAATGGGTTACTACTTACCTTAGACACCTCCTAAGACTTTACAACGACAAGAGTGTAACAAAAACTACAAATCCTAAAATAAATGCGATATACTAAAGCAATTAAACTAACACGAAATAAATGAAAAAGAATAACATGCTACAAAAATTAAATTCACGAACAACAGAATATGAAAAATCATAGACAATGATTTCAACTATGCAGTCCATAACAATTAAACTAATTACTTGTAGATTTAAAATAAAAAATAACTAAACTACTTAGTTGCTAAAACTAAAGGAAAAAACTATGAATTAATCAAAGTCTAGAAACTTGTAAAATTAAACTTTGATATGGAAATTGAAATTAAATAAATTGCATGTCTGACAGTTACACAAATACAAGGAAAAGAAGGCAAAAAGCATTTAACCTATTTACATGAACAAATAACATAGATGAAACCATAAGAGAAAGAAGGACTAACCAAATCAATGAGACAGACTCATTCTCAAGGCTGATCTGCTTCCAAATACTTAAAAACTAACCTAAGTTGAAATCTTTGAGGAAAGATATGAACAAGGATGGAAAAATCTAAACTAAAGCTATGAACAAGAACAGATCTTGCAAACTAATCTGGAAACTATGCTAAAATCTGGGAAAGGCAGTCTGAAAGTTGAAAAACATATGCTCTAGGCAGTGTGTGTAAGGCAAGCCATTTGGTTGTGTGTCCTTCTTCCTATTTTTCTTTTCTTTGGTGCTAAGAAACCTCCTCCATGTTTCTCGGCCCTCTTGCACCATGATCGAGTAGTGGGGGTTCCATGTTTGGCAGTTGTCTGGTAGTTGTCTGGCAGTTTTTTATTTAACCTTATCTTCAATAAAATCTTAATAACCTTTCTTCTAAAAAACCTCAACTTCCTACTTTAAATCAAACTCAAACACCAGAAATTATTTTATTTAAATCAAACTCAAACACCAGAAATTATTTTATCTTTTACCACCTGAAATCCAACATCCTTAAAATTCCATTTGGGCCTTTAAACTGTAATCTAGCCCAGCCCAAATCCAGTCTGCTGACTTTTCTTAATAATTGGGTTTCAACTTAACACGTAGCCTTCTCTCATTGGTTTATTTTTAGGTGTAAACAGAATGAATCCAACATGAACACCTCTAGTTGCCTTGTCCAATACCTAATGTTGCATAATGTCCAATTTGGTCGTACAACTTATTGTTTTCAGTGCGAGAAAAGGTGTAAAGAAAGATATTAAGCTTATTCCTCCATCAGGGTGATTTAATGGTTAAGAGTTTAAGATTTTAAATTAAAAATTTTAAATTAAAGATCTCAAATTTGAACTTTAAGGCAAGTGAAGAAGGATTTAGGAAAAGAAAAGGATTATCTAAAAGTTCAAAACAGATAGATAAAACGCTTCTTTCAGATCTCTTCCTAGATCATAACACAATCAATAAAAATCAACAACTTTGTTTGCCTATTAACTAAGTTATAAGCAAAATTTTTACATTAGAAACAATTACTCTACAAATTGACATCACATCCATTCAAAGTTCAAAACAGGAACAAACTAAAATGAAGAACAAAACAAAGAATAAACGGGCTTAATACCGTTTAGATTGTATAATATTTATGTTGATTAAATTGCACATTTAAAAAAAAATAAAATTGAAGACATTGATTTAATTAGTTGAATTTAAAATAATAAAGAAAGGGGGAAGGGGAAAGGATATGTGATGTTTGAGGGGGGCAAGTGACTAAATGATTGGTTAGGAATATATCATTCAATGGGTTGGTCCATCTCCTCCACTTTACCGTTAAAGAAAGCTTTTGAAAACTAGTGTCTCATTGAGAGCACCAATCATATCAAACTTCTAGTGTCCCACCTCCTGTCTCGTTTTAAGTCTCCCTTTACGAACTAATGGGGAAGAACATGATATTTAATCAAGTGAAGCATATTGGTGAAACTTCAAAAATACCCCTAAATAATTCCAATTTGGCTGGGTTTTGTGTCATTTTTCTACCTTTCAATAGGGGAGCATTTCTTGATCGTTGACCAACGCAAGCTGCATTCATGTCTCCTTCCGAAAAAGGTGTCAATT